ATCTTCTCCACAGGAGCCCTGATTCGTTTTATATCATCAGCTCGGCCAGCAACAGTCAGAACCCCTTGTGATGCATCCAGCACCAGGATGGCATCTTCCTTCACAACCGAACGGACATCTTTCTCTGCAGCTCTCCATCCCGGTGTATTTACGTGACATATGAATGCTCTGTACTGAGACATCAGGTGACGGAAGGCATGTTGGGCCTTACTCATCCAGTTTTCTAAATGTTCTGCAGTCAGACCTTGCTGCCTCAAAAACTCCGGCACAGGGCTGAGTTTCACGTCGGGGCCATTCAAATCCACTCTGCAGAAGTGTGGACGCATCTGATCATTGATGTGTTCTGATAGTTTCTTCTCCACAAGGAATTTCCAGATAATGTGGTGAACAGGCTCTGTGAAGGGCTCGGGCATCTTCCATGTTGGGCGTTCTTTGCTGTACAAGGCGGTTCCCAGTGACTCATAGTATGGATATACCTTCACTGTGATAGACTTCAACTCGAGGTCTTTTTTAACGCAAATCTTTTCCACAACTGCAGCAAACAAGAAGCAGAGAAGCAAAGGTTAGGTAAGTGGTTACTCTGCGGTTCTGAACCTTCTTGATCTGACAAATATCATTTTTCTACAACACTTTTCATCTTCAAATTACTTCAGTTAAACACATTTGAGATTGGATCTAGACTTTTTACAGTTTCTCAGTCACTGTTAGCTAACCGTTTCAGTCATTGTACACTACTTCTAAGTACAACAGGTATTAATCTAAAGCATTTTTTATTTTATTTTATTAACTTTAGTAATAACTGATTTCTTTGCCTCTAAGTTCAGGTTCACTTTAAAAAACTGGAAAAGCTGACCTAATATTTCCCATGTGAAGCTAGCTGCCTCAGACGTACCTCGTCCTTGGGAATAAAAGCACTATATAACCAAAGTACAGGAGTGATGCGTTCTAACGCTTGGGTTTGTTTTTTGTTGTTTTCATCTCGGCTGCTAGCTCCAGTAAGGACAACTATTAGTCGGACAGAATCCATTCTGAAAGCTTAAACACTAAAATGTTTCCAAAGTTTGCTGAACCAGTTTCTGTTTAAAGAAGTGAAAGAACTTGGTGGGCAAAGCCCTCACATTAATCACCACTACTACAGCAAGCTGGTGTCTGCATACGTTCAGCATAGGTTTACATCAACAAAAAAAAGACCTTTAGGATCACTGAAAGTGATGATGGCAGCCTTTTCTTTTGGGATCATGATGATGTTTTTGGGATGAGTCCAAGTCTTCTCAAAATACAACTCCAGTATGTCTAGAAAAAAGCCAGAAATGCACAGCTTTACAGATGCATGAAGGTTAAATTACTTTCAAAGTTCGTTATCTCGTTATTTTAGCAGAAATGTTTTTGGCATTAAAAATCTGAGTACTTCTATTTTTTCATTGTCAGTTTAATGAAAAATGTCTATAGCCTCTGCATCGGCTTTGGCCTCGCCTGGTCCGGCCTCAGTTTCTGCTTCAGCCTCGCCTGGTCCGGCCTCAGTTTCTGCTTCAGCCTCGCCTGGTCCGGCCTCAGTTTCTGCTTCAGCCTCGCCTGGTCCAGCGTCAGCGTCAGCCTCTGCCACTCCACCGCCATCCGACCCAGCTCGGCCTGAACCACCTCGCCTTTGCCGGCCACTTTCCAGGCCTTTGGTTGGACGTCTTCGCCGTTAGAACGAGGTCGTCACCGCTGCCAGCTTCCGGACCTGTTCTGTTGCCGCCACTGCCTTCCACGTGGCCGGCCTCCTGGTGTGTCTCGTCTGCATCGCCGCCGTTGCGGTCCACACGGCCGGCTCCCTGAACTGATTGGCCCCATGCTGTCTACCTTCGGGTCGACCCTGAACTTTCTCGTGGACTCGTGATGGATCTAGTTTTGTGTTGACCTGTTTTCTTGTTTATTGACTGATCTGGAATCATGCTCCTTGTTTTCGTCTTTCCCTTGGAGGGGGGGTACTGTCACGGTTCTGGGTCAGTTTTGACCCAGTATTTTGGGTTTCTCGTGTCTTGGTTTAATTTTGGATTGTATTTTGATTCTTTTACATTGTTGACCATTATGAGAATTATAGGTTTCTGTTTATTCATGTTTTAGGATTTGCTCCTTGGTTGTGTCTCATGTTTTGCATAGTTCAAGTTCCATGTGTTATATTCTGTCTGCATCTTTGTTTAATGGTTTCTTGTTTCCTGTTTTATTGTGAAGGTCTGTGTCTCATGTGAGTGTGTTCTGTTTTACTGCTCCCCTGTCTCGTTAGTCCAGTTTCTCCCAGCTGTGTCTCCCTCCTGTTTTCCATTCCCTGATTACGTCCCTGTGTATATTAGCCCTGTGTTTTCCCGTGCTCGGTGTCGCGTCGTACCCTCAGATCCAGCCTTTGTGGTCCTGTTTGGGTTCTTGGTTTCTGTTTTTGTGTTGGTGCCAGCAAATAAAAGCTGAAGTTTCAGTTACATTCCGTCTCAGAGTCCTGCATCTGGATCCTCATCTCCATCTGCCCGCACACAGAGCCTTGACATTGTCCTTATTGTTCCGAAAGGTTAGAAAGAAATTTAGAGTTGAATCGATTTAACAGCCATGTGGTAGCAATGGCAAAGCCCAGCTCAGCTCCAGGGAGACCCCTTAAAGCACTCAGCACCATTTGGATTTGGGTCAGCAGGGGGCGAAAAGTGTGGAAGCCACACTGTACACAGCTATAATGATGAATGAGCTCATTCATGCACGAGTTCATTTCCTGTATTGAGGAGAAATTAATTATTTTTATATTTAGCTTGTGTATTATCTGTATAAGTAACTATGCCTCTTGTTGTATTGATTAGCTCCTTTCTAGATTTCATGTGTTGATTTCAGGTGAAATTGGAAGCGACAAAGCTCAAACTGTCCCAACAAATAAAGCCACTGTAAAATGCTAACCTAAAATCGAATATAACATAACAGCTATATTGAGCAGTAGGCTCATGTTCTGGTAAACTTTTTTCAACCAGAGGAGTCGACCCCTGCTGGTTATTAAAAATAATGTATTAATTATCCAGAGGCTTTTACATACAGTCTATGGTTTTTAGGAGCACATGTACCTTTCACCACAGTCGGAGGAAGACTCTCCACTCGGATGTTCGTTGCCGCCTCCAGAGGCCGAGCGGTCAGTCCATGCTTCTTCATCTTTGAGCTGGTCTGGCTTACAGAGAGGAATCTCTCCACATCTGCAAAATAATCCAGATTAATCCTTTCAGACTGAAACAGGGTGAGAGAGAAATGCTGGGCTACAACATATTATCTAGAAATGTTCTTATGAATGAATGAAGGCTTCCTCTTTATTTTTTAAATGTAGAGTCAATATAGATTTATTTTCTATATTTAATAACCCTGCTTTATTGGAGACAGATCTGCTGTCATTTTATGCTGTTTGTGTTCTTTCTAATGGACCCTGTTTCAAATTTGAATCAAGGATTAGGAGAGTTAATATTTTCACTACTTGTGGTCAAAGGAAACAATATTCATTCAGGTTCTTGATTATGCTCAATGCTGTGATCTTAATTTGTATGTAGACGACATTATGTTGTATGTAAAGCAACAAAGATGTTGGGATCAGTGGCAGCAAACAGAATGGTGATAAAGGAGAGCAGTGATAGGTTCCTCTGCTCAAAGAGTCTGTAGAGGTATTTGGATCTTTTCATTCTTTTACTTTACTGATAACAATTTATTTATGATTACTGATATCAAAGTAAAAATTGTTTAACATGTGCTTCACTTGTTTGTGTACGAGGTAAAGTCAAGCAGGTTATCCTCAGCCCCCTGCAAGGGGCCTCGCCCGACACCAATGCATGCTGTGTCACCCAATATAATATAGGCCCCATCTTATCTTAATGACCTTGTAATACCATATCACCCTATTAGAGCACTTCGCTCTCACTCTGCAGGCCTACTTGTTGTTCCTAGAGTATTTAAAAGTAGAATGGGAGGCAGAGCCTTCAGTTTTCAGGCCCCTTTTCTGTGGAACCAGCTTCCAGTTTGGATTCAGGAGACAGACACTATCTCTACTTTCAAGATTAGGCTTCAAACTTTCCTTTTTGCTAAAGCATATAGTTAGGGCTGGACCAGGTGACCCTGAATCCTCCCTTAGTTATGCTGCAATAGACGTAGGCTGCCGGGGGATTCCCATGATGCACTGGGTGTTTCTTCTTCACTCACTATGTGTTAACAGACCTCTCTGCATTGAATCATATCTGTTATTAACCTCTGTCTCTCTTCCACAGCATGTCTTTATCCTGTCTTCCTTCTCTCACCCCAACCAATCACAGCAGATGGCCCCGCCCCTCCCTGAGCCTGGTTCTGCTGGAGGTTTCTTCCTGTTAAAAGGGAGTTTTTCCTTCCCACTGTCGCCAAAGTGCTTGCTCATAGGGGTTATATGATTCTTGGGTTTTTCTGCATGTATTATTTTACAGTCTTAATGCTATATAAAGTAAATGGAATGCAATGTTTGTGTAGTTTAAAGTAATATTTATATGAAAATGATTCATTATTCAAATCATATCACGTGTGTGGTTTGTGCTTCTCTACACTTTTCCAGATCAGATATGTGATTTTTTATAAAGTCAGGTTTAAAATTAGACTCAAAGGTTAATCTAAAGGGGATTTTGGATGTTTGTCCTTGTACTGGCTCGTTGTGTTTGTGTATGTGGAAATGTCCAGCTGTTTGCTTCCTACCTGCAGGGCTGCTGAAGGTGACCACAGCTTTGTTGGATTCCAGGATCCTCTCCATGCTGTAGCCGTTCTCATCCAACCTGCAGATGTTCTCCACCAGCATGGAGAGCAGATCTGTGGACATGTTGTCTGTGACGTTTTCCAAAACCACCGCACAGCTCTGAGACGACTCTGAGTCTGAGAGAAACACACAAACCTGATCAAAGAAAGTGTCTGTGAGCAGTGAGGGAAGGAGGCTTTTGTTCACCTGTTGTTCCTGAAACTTTACTGTCAGCAGCATTTCTTTTCTGTAAAGTGCAGGGCCTCCTCCAGGGTGAGGGCGGCAGATTCTGGGCTGTTTGCTTGAACTAGCAGCAGAGTTTTAGTGCTATTTGATTAAGTAACAGTGAACATCAGTCAGCACACACCCACGTTTGAGTTATTTGTTTCTCAACACAGTAGGAAGTTTATTCAGCTATAACTGAGAAAAAGTGATCAAATGACAGAATTATGACACTTATTGTTTTGTTTGTGCAGCTGCTTGTATAGGTGTTATAATTCTATTTTGCAGCTATTCATCCAGCGCTGGGCCATGACCCGCCGTCCGACTCGGCCTCGGAGGTAAGTGTACGAGGGCGTTTGGATCGAAGAGTCTAAACACAGTTTGTTATCAGGGGAGAGATTATTTGTTATGTTCAGCTCCACCCTTGAGACCGCAGCTGGCGCCGAAATGGTAGCCGCATGAAATAACGGTGGTGTTCTTTCTTTAGTGCGAACCGCTGCATGTCAATTTTACAGTCATCTAATGTCCATCACTGGTCTCTCACCGTTCCCGCTGGAGAGCGTGAGCCTCTCCACGATGATATCCAGCTACACCGAGAAGTTATCCAGTTTGCTCACAGAGCACGAGTGCAGCCGTCAGCCTCTCCACGATGTTGTCAGAGTCTCAGTACTGACAGCAGCCGCAAGCTTCTCCAATATGTCCTCCGTGCTGCGTCTAATGAGCCCATTCTGAGAAGCCACGGCTCGCTCCATCGTTCCAATCAACACAGCGAGCAGCCTTGTGGGGGTTTGAACAGCTGTTTCCGCTTTCTTTATTCTGCGATAAGCCAGGGCCAAGCCAGCGCTGATCAGTTATCATGGTTCCGAAAAGATAGACGTCTTCAATCGGCTCTCCTGAACCCAGGCTTCTTGTCGAGAAGAGGGTGTCAAATCCATAATTCCTCTTTTAGGTTTTAGAGAACAGACTGTGAGACTCTTCCAGGGTAAAGGGAGAGAAGTAGACAAGACTAGACGGAGACATGAGAAAGCCAAGCAGGAAAGATAAGGGAAGGGAGAAAGTGCGACCGCCTTCGTCAAGAGCCCAAAGAGAATAAGTGCAGCATGTACTGCTTTCTGTGTGTACCTTTGACCACAGGCGGAGGAAGACTCTCCACTCGGATGTTTGTTGCTACCTTTACTTCCTTGCCGTCGCCTTTTGTCCCCCAGAAAAAGCGGCCTTTGCCCGCCCTCCCCTCACCCGTGGTCTCCGATTCCTGAGTCTCTCTTGAATTCTTCACGCGAGACTGGCGTGGGCGACACACTATACTGGGCGGTTCCGTTGTACTAGGACTACACTAGTTGTGTGGATAGGAAGGCCCCCCGGCATTGATCCTGACCGACGAAGTGAGACGCCCGACGACGCGACCGGCCCGCGTCGTCAGGTTTCAGCTCAGTGCTGTGCGCCGCGCTGCGAAGCATGGCCGGCGTCCTCATCCTCCTGTCCAGACGCGGCCCTGATTCCTTCGCCCGCCGGGGACACTTTCTTTAGATTGATGCTGTGTGTTTTCCTGCATCCCCGCTCACTGCCCCCCTGGACGGGAACAGCTCGCCCCAGCCGGACCTTCCGCTTTCTTGACTATCATTCCACCATCCAACCTCATGAAGTTCGCTAGTGATGTGTCGCAGAGCTCTTGGAAGGTGCTCAGCCAGTTTCCTCATACATTGTCGTATACAACCTAACTTTGGTCAGGCACACACCGTCGCCACAAACATAAATCAAAACCTGCTTCTCTTAGTCCAGTGTTTTTGGAGCCATTTTTCTTCACTGATTTTATTTTGGATAAAGTATTTTGATTTTGCCTCTTGACGGTGCTTCATGTAAAGAAAGAGAAATGTCAGTAAAGTTTCAGGAATAACAGGTGAACAAAAGCCTCCTTCCCTCACTGCTCACAGACACTTTCTTTGATCAGGTTTGTGTGTTTCTCTCAGACTCAGAGTCGTCTCAGAGCTGTGCGGTGGTTTTGGAAAACGTCACAGACAACATGTCCACAGATCTGCTCTCCATGCTGGTGGAGAACATCTGCAGGTTGGATGAGAACGGCTACAGCATGGAGAGGATCCTGGAATCCAACAAAGCTGTGGTCACCTTCAGCAGCCCTGCAGGTAGGAAGCAAACAGCTACCACCTGATTTGGTGACAGCGGGAAGGAACAACTCCCTTTTAACAGGAAGAATTTACATTCAAAATAAAATAATAATTAAAAAACTATTATTTATTTAAAATAATGAAGGATTTTAAACTTGGTTCTGGATTTAAACCCCACTGGTTCAAGAACTTTTTTGAGAAAAGGAAGTTGGAGATTGGCCTGTAATTAGCTAGGACAGCTGGGTCACTCGCCACTTTAAAGGCCAGGCGCCCATTAATTGAGATAAATTGATCCAAAGATATTTTAAAGTGCAGCCAGCAGCTTAGGTTAGCATAGCTATTGAAACCAGGATAAAGGCTCGTTCGGTTCATCCACAGCTTTTGGAACGTTAACCTTCGATAAATGACTCGCTTTAAGCTCACCTCTGACAGCCTGAGTGCACATGTGGGTCCTGCAACAGTCGACACACTAACAGCACAAAATATTAACACATCTGTCTGCAATAAACGAGGATTATTAAATATATAAAGTAGATCTATCAACCCGCGCGGAGGAGACCATCTCACACTCACCCGGCATCGCTCACTACATCGCTCCTGCTCACACCCCTTTGTCGGCCACAGGGGCCGATGCGATGTCACCACACTCCATGGCGCTTCTTCATACTTTGTGCTGGTACATCGACTTAACGACAGGAGATTCTCCCACCCTCAACCCAATGCAAATATCACCAGATTAATACCTTTTCACCTAAGACAGGTGGAAGAGAGGGGTGGAAGGAGAGAGCTGGGTTTACAACAGTGTTGTTTTCCTGATCACTGAATGTCAGCTAAGTCATTTAGGAAACAGTTTTCATAAAAAGGCACTGCTAACCCTTATAGGCAAGATCTACTTTATATATTTAATAATCCTCGTTTATTGCAGACAGATGTGTTAATATTTTGTGCTGTTAGTGTGTCGACTGTTGCAGGACCCACATGTGCACTCAGGCTGTCAGAGGTGAGCTTAAAGCGAGTCATTTATCGAAGGTTAACGTTCCAAAAGCTGTGGATGAACCGAACGAGCCTTTATCCTGGTTTCAATAGCTATGCTAACCTAAGCTGCTGGCTGCACTTTAAAATATCTTTGGATCAATTTATCTCAATTAATGGGCGCCTGGCCTTTAAAGTGGCGAGTGACCCAGCTGTCCTAGCTAATTACAGGCCAATCTCCAACTTCCTTTTCTCAAAAAAGTTCTTGAACCAGTGGGGTTTAAATCCAGAACCAAGTTTAAAATCCTTCATTATTTTAAATAAATAATAGTTTTTTAATTATTATTTTATTTTGAATGTAAATTCTTCCTGTTAAAAGGGAGTTGTTCCTTCCCGCTGTCACCAAATCAGGTGGTAGGTGTTTGCTTCCTACCTGCAGGGCTGCTGAAGGTGACCACAGCTTTGTTGGATTCCAGGATCCTCTCCATGCTGTAGCCGTTCTCATCCAACCTGCAGATGTTCTCCACCAGCATGGAGAGCAGATCTGTGGACATGTTGTCTGTGACGTTTTCCAAAACCACCGCACAGCTCTGAGACGACTCTGAGTCTGAGAGAAACACACAAACCTGATCAAAGAAAGTGTCTGTGAGCAGTGAGGGAAGGAGGCTTTTGTTCACCTGTTATTCCTGAAACTTTACTGACATTTCTCTTTCTTTACATGAAGCACCGTCAAGAGGCAAAATCAAAATACTTTATCCAAAATAAAATCAGTGAAGAAAAATGGCTCCAAAAACACTGGACTAAGAAGAAGAACCACATGTGTTTTGATTTATTTGTTTAGTTGAGACGAACGCTGGTGTGTGCCCTTAACACTAGTAAGTATTTATTTATAATAATTTATGAAGGAAAAACTCTTGTTCTTGAATTTCGGCTCACAGAATGAAGCTCTTCTCACACATGCACTGCAGGCGTGAACTTTCATGATTGATGTGAATATATGATCAAATAAATCTGAAAGGTTTCCCGTGTGTGATGACGAGCTGTCACAGTCCAGTGTGGATCAGGGTGGATGTTGTGGATGCAGAAAACACACAGCATCATTATTTAAAGAAAGCTTCTCACATTGTGTCGAATGAACTCAGTTTTCCTCTCTGACAGGAGGATGGAGGTCCT